ACTAGAAGAAGGGCCTTCTCAGCAGTTGCACCACTCCTTAGAAACATGTCCTCCAAGGAGGTGCACCTGGTGCGATCCTTGTTTTCTTTTTGGCACCCAAAAGTTCTTAAAGCAAGAACTAAACTATGCTGCTTATTTGGGCTCACCCACTGCTGAAATGCAGCCCCAGAGAACTCCAGAAGTTGATTTTGCTTATGGGAGTAAGAGGTTCATAGCTAGGCCCACAAAGCTCACAGCCTGCATCAGGCCATGGATCTGCAGGAGCAGCAAATTGTATTGCTGCTTCTTCCTCACCCTGGCCTGGAGAGCCCACAAGCACCTCCTCTGGGGGGTGCCACAGAGAGCCTTGCCAGCCATTTCTCAGCAGAGCATCTGCTGGAGCAAGAGAGGAGCCGGTGGCCAGCTGTTGCTCTCAGAGCAACTGTACCAGAAGAAGCTCTTGGTTCAAGGCGATTCAATCTTCCCTGTGGGTCCTGGTGATTCATTCTCACCATTTGGTAAGGAGGCCCCGACACTAACAAATGTCCTTTTCTGGAATTCAGAACTCATCCAAGTGAATCTCTGGAAAGGATCCTTCAAGGAGCATTTCCACTGTGCCTTTCAGGTCCCAGAAACTTTTATGCTGCAATTCTATTAACACCTTGGAGTAAGTCCAATTGAAGTGAACGGTTTGTACTTCTGGGATAATGCTTTAGCAACAGCAAGTAAAATATGCTAATATTCTACTGAAATAGAATATCTGGAAGGTACCAAGTTGGAGGTGGCTGGCTTATCTCTTAGCCCCAGCATTCTTCACGCAGAACCTATGAGTAGTAATTGGTTGCTTTTGGCCAAGTATTTGTGCACCTCTCTTGGAGAGTTTTGTGTTAGAATCCCTGCTTCTAACTATTTTTCAGATGTAGATTTCTACTGTATTTGCACATACAGTGTGCAGCTCATGGAGTACCATGATTGATCAACCTTACTGCCCGCTCCATCCCAGCACACCTGATTCAGATCAGTGGACTTCGAAGTTCTAATACAAACAACAAAGAGAAAGGCACCTGCTGCTTCCTGGACTTGCCAGAAGAGGGCAGCCAGACCAAGATAAAATGGGCTGGAGGGCGATATTGGTATCTGCAGAGTGGAATTTCTGTGCTTGAAACAAACAAACTGGAGAGAGGGCTGTATAATGAATTGTAGCTTTTCTGGCACTGCTCCTTCCCGGAGAATGAAAGGCTGGTCTGCTAACAAAAGAAATTTGGGGACAGAATGAAAGATGTGAAAGCTCACCCCAGGGCGACAGCTGAATCCAGCTCCAAAAGTACCAGAGTGGCAGGGCAGCCAGGCATCACATCTTCCCTCTCTGCCCCACTGCAGGCTCAGAGTGTGCAAACTGCCCCACTCACCCCACTGATGAATTTCTTTTAAAGAAAAGGATGAGGAAGTTCAGCAGCTAGAATGCAAGCCTTCCTCGAACACACTTTCTTCCCAAAAAGAGGACTTAACTGTGACTATGCCTTCATCATTCACTCACGTGCTTGTTCAGTGCATATGATCACAGTAGCCTCCCTCTTTCCTTATTATAAGTTGTTAGTTTTTTGTGTTACTGCTGTTCCCAGCTTTAGAAGAAACTGAGAAGTTCCAATTAAGGTTCTTGGGGCTTTTATTCTGAAACTGAGTCTTAATTACTCCTAAATCCCAGTATATATGTGCATGTGACTTTTTGCACAAAGCACAATTCTGGTTCTTTATTTAGCACCATCAATATGCATAGATTTTACAAACAAGAGAACAGCTCCCTGTCCTTAGGGGCTTACAATATCAGATCTACAATGATAAACACACAAGAACAGCAATCTAAAAGGCCCAGCATGCAGAAATAATTATACTAGAATAGCTATAAAATTATGATAGAACATCCAGATACAATTACTTATGAGATTAAGTATGATGTTGGTGGCATTTCTGCAGTGTTACAAGAGGAGAAGCAATATGATTAGGCAGTGGATGAAATATGGAGAGCAAAGGAGCCAAATATAAAGTCAGTAAGGTATGTGCAAGAAGCAGGGCAGGCTGGAAAGCAAGACAAGAAATTTGGTCCTGGACTTACTGAATTTGAAATTTTGGTAACACATCCAAATGTTGAACTGTACTGTAGCCTGCGAAGGCTCCTCTGTCTTCCTGAAGATTGACACTAACTGCAGAGTGAGCTTAACAGTATGCCCTTTTAAAGACATCTCCTCCCCACTTCCCCTCCAAGAAAAAGTTTGGTGTTGACTAATATATTAACAATGAGAATCTTACAGAAGCAAATTTATACAACTTGCATCCTGCTGGAGAAGAGGCCGGGAGTAGTGGCTGTGTTAACACAGCACCCTCCGAGATCTTAAAGATGAAACAAGTTTGGCTGGCATAAGCAGGCAAATCAAGTGGGACCAGGCAGTCCAAGGTTTGCTGCAGCGCTTTCTTGGTTGTTACACCTGAACAAATCAGTGTGATTGAACTGTGTGCCAGTATGCACTGAAAAGCTGAACCCCATTGTCTACTGAGAACCAGCACATGCATTTATGCGTTTGCCCGATATGCTTACTTTCATTGTGCAGGGAAATTTGCATGGTGGGAGGGTTTCAACATGCAACTTTCCAGCTGAAGGGTGGACAGTCCCGACAGTTACCTCCTCAGCTGCTGATTTGCCAGACCCGAGCCTGTGCCAGTATCATCCACTCCCTTCTTCCACCCACACCTCATGTCTTTTCCCCCCAGGAAATGCTAACAGATCCACCGGGCATTTTGTAAACAGCCTGGCATTGCAAAACCCTTGCAGAGGAACAGCATAGCCCAAGCTACCCCACCCTTTTCCCAGCACTAGGACAGATTCCTGAGATGGTTGGTATGGAGCCATCAACGGCAGAACCACCCTCCCCCTCCCTCCTATTTCTCAGCAGGCAGAAGTGTCGCAGTGTTCACAGAACAGAGAATCATGATACAGACTGGAAGAACTTGGGGCACAAGGGGAACCAAGAATCACGGGAGAAAAGGGATTCCAAGATAGCTTAATTCCTGACTCGAGTCTCCCAAGCAGGTTCTTTCTGACATTGAAACACAGCCTTGGTATAGTTTGTCGAAGAGCAATCCCAAGCTTGAGCAAGTTTTCTCTTTTGAACCAGGGGCTCCTTTCCATTTGTTTCCTGCCTTCTGTCTCTACTATTCCGCCCCCAGAATAGGACTGTGCAAGTATCCTTGCGGGCAAGCCCTGCTGCTGTAGGCAGAGGACTGTGGATTGTCCAACCCTGGCACTTAAAACAGACATCTCTGCATCTTCCTAAAAATCACATGCAAGGCCTTTTCAGTCAACAGCAGGAGCTCTTCCAAAAACAGGCTGAAGTGATAGAACAAGTTGGGAAGTAAGCAAATTGCACATATTGCAGGAAATTTGTGGGAATCCTTTGCTAGAGAAATTTAAATAAGCCAAGGCAAGTAGGTGTGAGCTCTTTTTCCCCTTTCTGTCACTCCTGCCAGTTGTTCTAGTGCTCCCCAGATGACCTTGCCCAGTTTGAGAAATACCAGTTCTCTAATGTCATTTTGACCCAGTCCACACATTAAAATCATGGGTGTCTCCAGTGCACTCCACTTTCACTTAATCTACTATCACCCCATTTGAAAGTTGTTAGTGTGACATCCAAATTCAGACACTCTGGGTGGTTTAAGGATTAAACAAAATCCCTAGAAGTAATCCCTAACCCACCCAGAGTGCTTGGATTTGGACATCATGTTAACATTATTAACTGAAACAATTCTAGATAGATAACAGATGGTTAACTGAAAGCCAAAGTGAAGGGCTCACCATAAGTAGTGCACTGATTCCTACTAGGTTTCATTATTTTTTTAAATTAGCCCACTATTTCTATTATGTGCAAACTGGGTGGTGCAGTGGAAACCAGGGAGATCTGGATTCTAGTCCCCTCTTCGCCATGAAGCTTAACGGGCAACTTGACTCATCACTCACTCTGTCTAACTACCTCAACAGGGTTGTTGTGAAGATAAAGAGGAGCCATCTTGAAAGAGCTGGAAGGAACCAAGGTGGCCATCGGTTCCAACCCCCCACCCCCAGTGTAAGCCACCTTGGGTTCCTCACAAATGTAGAAAGGATGAACTACCATTTCATAAATAACTACTTCATAAGATGTATAGTCTTTGTATAGATGCAACCTAGAATTGGAGCTTCCCCCTCATAAATGCAATTTTTGCTTCCAAACAGTGAACACTGCTCTCCTTTGGAGTGGATGTGCATGGTAGTGGTGGCAGAAGGGAAAGATGGATCCTGCTAAATTGCGAACATTGACGAGATGACTTGTTTAACAGCTAAGATGATTCATGGAGTAGTTCATACTACTCACTGCAAAATGAAAGGTAATAGCATTTTGGTTTCAGCAGAGCAGCTATTGTGAGACAAAGAGTAACTCCCCTTTCCACAAGGAAACATGAGCTGTTGAGCAATATTGCCCCAAATGCAGCTACACTGATATGTATTTCACCTGCCTTGTAAAGAAGGAAGTATGTGCTGCAGTTTGTTCCGGCAGGCTGCAGTAGTCAGGAGGCTAGTGTGTGGCCAAAAGACCACAGAAAAGGGCAGGGCCAGTTGTAGGAGTGCAGCAGACTGGAGTTCTTTGGAAACAAAGAATGTGGTACTTGCCAAGAATTCGATTTTTAAAAAACAAACAAAACCCAAGAAACTTCCCACTCTTGTGGCTCACTGGGTATGTTGAGGTCTCAGGAGTTAGAGGCAGCTGGGAGACTGCCAATTGCTTGAGCAACAAGTGGTGAGGCAGGAATGATTGAGCATAAATCAGGTGGAGTATGAAAATCAAGAAAACCTGAATTATTTTGTACAAGCTCCAGTATTTAGATTTTGGAGTACCTGAGTGGAAAGCTGATAGCTGTTGGCTCACTGAGCCCTACCCATCCCCTTCCCTTTATTCCTTCCCAAACCCAATCCCAAAAATAGTCAAGAACAGATATAGTTTTTACACCAACTTATTTAATAGACACAGTGATTGACTGATAATGACCGCAGGGAATTCACTGCATGCTACCCTGTCCAAATAGATAACAGGTAAACACAATGACAGGCTGTTCTGTATCTCACACACATACACAAGCAGCAACACCTGGAACTTCAGCTCTAAGAGCAAGTAATGGATTAGCACTTTCCCATAGTGTTAGCACAGCAGATCTGGGTTCTTGCTGTAAGTGCTCAAGGGAAGTAAGTGCACCAGTCTCCTAGTGTGACACTTCTAAAAACTGCACATTGTATTACACAACACACACACATTACATAAATATACAGCTTACAGAGGTATACGAAGCCTAGCTTCTTTCCTATGCCAAGGCCTGAACTAAGGGAAGGCAGACACAACTCTCAGGAGATCCCTATTTTCCAAGGGAAGCTCTTCCTATACAGCTGCTGGTGCTGGACAGCTTTTTCCCCCCTTCAATGGTAAATAGAATATGGCAACAACAACTCAGCAGTAATAGGTTCCTCCACCGTTCAAGTAATGGATGTCCAAGCTACATATGAGCTTCCTGGAGGTGAAAGACCTACAGTTTCCTTGAAACAAAACAAGTTGTTTAAAGTTGCAGGCAGAGTTAGTCAAAGTTTCCTTATGAAGTAATCCTGTGAAGCCAAGCACAGGTCAGCTCCACAATGAGACAGGCAAGCTTCATCCCTCCCTGGCTTGCCTTCATCAATGCCAAGTTGTTATGCCAGTTGGGGTCACCTTTCCCAAAGAATCATTTGCTTCCCATCCAAGTTTCCTAGTGGATCACACCCACACACACTGTGTGAGGCAGAGAGGGGATCTGGAGATAACATTTGGCTTACAAGATGGAAATGCAGGAACAAAGGAAGCTGAAGGGAATAGCTGCTAATACTCTGCTCAGTGCACAGAGTACAGTGCACAGTGCACAGAAACACATGACAATGGGAGGGGTGGGGGCTCTCCTGTAGGGCCACTGTTTTTGCAGGTTTTTAAAGAAACAATTCTATGGTAGTGAGTTAACTGAGCAAAGGCACAGTAGAGGTGCCAGTAGGAAACACTGCTTTAAGCAACCTGCTTGGACAGACAAACGATGATCTTCTGGATCACAAAATTATAACCACCCAGATCTGAGCTTGTAAGAGAAATCCAGAACCGTGTTCAAAAGGTCAGGAGAGACAAGTGCATATGTTAGTTGGAGGAATAATTGAGACCCTCTTAATTAAGATGCCAGAAAAGGTTCATACAGTGTTTTCCCTAGGCAAGTTTAAAGGAACACACCGGACTAGAAACTTGAATTGCTTTTTGCCACTTAATCGAAATTCTAGCATGTTTGTTTGCTGTAAGCAGGTCAACTGCACATTAGGATGTACTTCACCATGATTGTCTACACTCTTTTCTCCGTTCCTGTAACCTGAGGGATACTGCCCCACCGCAGATCTGACAAGATTACAGTGCAGTATTTGCAGCATCAATTCCTCTTAACTCCTTCTCTTTCTTCCTATCTTCACAGAGATGCTTGAAAAAAGCAAGTTATGGGCACACTAGCAGTTTATATCCACAACAGGAGAGCTATACCACTTCAAACAATCACACAAGCAAACACACACGCATGCAGGAGGGAGTCAAGTTTTACTGCCAAATTTCCAACCAACAGGTCTCAAGCAGATTATTCATCAAACCTCCCATCACGAATGTTGTCAAATGAGAAAGGGAGGAACTTGAATCCGGTACCCATGTAGAACTTGTTCTGGAATTCCACCCTAGTGAGAAAGAAAAAGATTATACAAGAAACAAACAGTCATCAGCTGCAGTCTCAGCAGACATAACACCTTTTTAAGTTTCGAAAGTGGCAACAACCTTACATTTTGTATGATCATTATGTTTTACTGCTGATAGGGAGTGTTTCAGACATCCCACCCCCTATTGCCCAAGTTGTTTTCCTACTGACTTGGCTGAAGGTTCAGACTACAGAACTGGGGCATGCAAGAGTGCTAAGAGATAACAGCGGCCTATAGCCTAATATATGGAATATCCTTGCAATGTTTCTTTTCAGTAAGAAGAGGAAGAAACCCTTCCCTTTATTGCAACAGGTTAGGAGCTTGCCTTTTTTCAATGTATGTCCTCACTGCCCCATACATTTCACACACTTACATGCAAATAAACTCAATTAGGCAGAACATGTTTTTTTCAAAGTGAAAGATAAAAATCTTACATTTTGGCAGACTTCAATGTTTCAGGCCCTGTGCTTGAATCCCAGATCTTGACACCCAAAAATTCATTATCAATACCCATCTAAACTAAGGCATTTGAAACATCTTAATGCTGGAACACAATGATCCAAAATCAGTCTTAGCTAGCAACTCTTATCAGAAGGGTGCAGCAGGGAGACACGAGGGAAAGAGGCAGAGATATGAATTCCAGGATCAGCTTGTTTCCCTTGCTATTCTACAGTTTCCACTAATGAACTCAGAATGTGAAGGGAATGATACTGGTAGGCTGCCCAATTATAAACAGGCACCATACATGGGAAAAAAACCCATGAGTCATTAAGAAAACAAGCCCCATGCTCTTCTTTTGGCCGTGCAGTGAGAAACATTTTCCATCATTTTCCCCAGCCAGCTGCACAGAAAAATCAAGCAAGAGTTGATTTGCTGTTGCTCCTTCAGGATGGAGCAAAATGCTCAGAACTGGGTGGCGGGGGATGGGAGGGGGAATCAATCTTGCAAGCCAACATAAATGAGAGGAGAGAGACAGACCACAGTTTTGTCATGCACAGAAAACAAAATGTAGAGACACGATGGAACAAAAAGTATTCTACAGCTTTGAGGGTAAATGGGACACCTTGTCAAAGAAGCAGAAGAGGAATACTTGCTTCACAATCTACTGATTTGAACTGGCCTGCTTTCCTTCCCTCTGCAAAGTCTTCCATTTTGACCAAATGTTTATACAGCCAAAATCTGCCAATAACCAAGTGTTCACTGATAGCATTCAGGGATGTATCACTTGAGACTGGAAGCAAAGGGTCACACGGCTGAATGCTCTACCATACCCTGTCCCCACCAATTCCACCCTTGAAAAACTAGTGTACCAGGGAGAAAGCTATGCCAGAACTCTTCTTCCTGACATGCCAGTTCTCTTTTGTGTGGGGATATGTTCTGTGCTGAAGGTCAATTACATGAGCCCCCACCTGTGGTCTGAAGTGTGCAAACCAGACACAAGTTGATTAGCTCATTGAATGTTTAACTGTTGCTGAAAAGAAGGGCTCAAGCTAAACCGGAAGCCAGACAAAGCATTTATCTTTCCCAAGCCAGCATAAAACATGAACCATCAATTTGAAGATCTATGTTGAATCCAAAATTGAATTGCAGCAGGCAAACAGCAGCCTCCTACAAACAAATCAAACAGGCTGGTGATGGTGAAAGGAGAAAAGAACTATGCAAGGCCAAATGGCATAAAAGTCACCAGGCAAGGTCATATGTCATGCATTCACAAGGAAGAAAAATCAGTGCAGAGCAAAAGGATGGAAGCTCGAAGTAGCATGTGGCCATCTCCCTCCCTCCACCCCTGCCAACACACACACATCCCTCTGGGAGCAACAGGCTCCTCCCCTGAGAATGCCAGCTGTACCACCAGACGCAAAGTATTCCCAACATATACAGAATGTGCCAGCTACATTTACAGATTGGGAACAGCTGCATATGTTGCTTCTCTCATATGTTGCTTAGCTAGTACTAACTGGAAGCATCACCAGGAGGACAGGAAAGCTTGACTATCTTTTCAAAGCATGGAAACTGTTGCCGTTGAGCAAAAAAGTCAGCCAGCTCCAAGATCAATGTTTGTGACACTAGATTTCACGTGAACAAAAGGTAGGCAAGTAATCTGTGGTTTGGTGCCAAGGACGGAGGCTCTCCCACCAGTTTCACTGCCCTCCAACAGACAAGCACCAATCCAGGTGAAATAGGACCTTCCAGATGCCCCAAGTTGGGGCATGGAGAGCTCCACGGAGGGTGATGGGGGAGTAAATGTAGACAGCTCAGAAAAGAGGACAGGCCCTGACCACCTTTTCCTTTCCTTCTTTGCAGAAGGATAGCATGGCTGGTACGTGATCAAAAATGGCACCTCCTCCTACTGAAGAGTTGCTTTTAAAAATGATTTGGATTGCACGGAAATGGACAGATTGACTTTGTCTTTCAAGGAGAAGGAAGATACATACTTCTATCAAACTTGGAATTATTTTTATTATTGGTTTGAGAAAGGGGACTATATGTAGAATTGAACATGGTTATTGACTGTAAAGAAAAAGTAAGATGTCAACCCAGTATGTCTGATGTCTCGGGAATAATTGTTGTTTTAGGTTTAGATCTAAAATAATAGTAGAAGATCTAAAATAATAGTAGAGAAAATAGTAAAATTTGAAAAAAAGGCATCTCCAGATTCAAACAGCTTTGTGTGATAGCTTCTGAACTGGGGCGGGCTCTGCTTACTTGCAACTAAAGGGAAAACACCTCACACTTACTCAGAGGTCAGCTCCCTTCTTTGAACATAGGACCAGGGAAACACAATTCCCCTCTTGCTCTGCATCAGTTCAGCTTCCGAGATACCACTGTGTCCAGTATCAAATTAAGTCTACCCACACAGTCCCAGAGAACCCCTTCCCCCAGCACCATGTTCAGCTCCTTCATGTTATGGAACATGCAACTCCCCACTGGCACCAGATTGCCTACTCTTCTCCCCACTTCTAGGCCCAAGCCATCTGGAGTGCTAATGGCTCCTTGCTTTTAGCCAGGAGATTCCACATTGCACGCTTTCCAACTGGAGCAAGTCTCACCTCCAGTATTTTATGTAAACCCAGTCAACTAGAAAGCTTTCTCTCTGTTCCTGACCACAGTTATCTTTTTGGCATTCCACTCCCCACCCTTGTTGAAGGGTCCTACAGCATGCCAAATTCAACACGGAGATACAGGCTGCATGGAACTACGAGTTGTCTTTCCAGTTGCAGTATCTAAAGTGTAGGAAGACTTTCATTCCAGGTGCATAGCCCTCTCAGAGCACATCCCCACCTGAGCCTAGTCTCTTTCAGCTCTCTTGCAGTCCCAAACTGATAAAATGAACCAAGCCCAAACCTTCTCTCTCATCTACAGATTCAATGTCAAAAGGACCTGCAGTAAAGCAGGTAGTGTCTAATCAACCAATCACTTTAACTGCATGATACGTGCTTGTTTCCCCACACAATTGTGGAGATAAGGAAGGCCCAGCTTCATTTCAGACAGTATTTGTTTTTCAGCCAAGGCAACCATCTGCCTGGAATGAGCAGTTGCCTAAAAAAATTATGAGATAAACCAATCCAAGTCAGGAGTGGTGGTGGAGGGTTGGAAACTATTTTTCCAGCAGTTCAGAAAATTCACTCTGTTTCTCCTTGCAGCAAAGGATGAATCACTCATACTTTGGAATTCTAGGGGGAAGTGATTTGGCTCTGTGGTTAAAGCAGAACTTTCACATGCAGCGGTTCAGTCTCTGAAATCTCCTGTGAAAAGGTTTCCAGGCAGAAGGGTCATGGAGGGACCTCAGAGAGCTGTTGTCAGAGGACTGAACTAGCCGGACAAATGATCAGACTAAGTGGGCACGTTCACACATAATAAAAAGTAGGAACTGTTTCTTAATAAGCTATGATGTGAATGAGCTCCATGCTGGTATATACAGCCCTTTGTTGCAAACAGATAAACAACCTGGAAAGGAGATTGGTTTTTGTGATGGTCCAAACCAGAATTGTACCCAGACAATCCAAGATTCACAAACCAACAACAAACCCTGGCATTTCTGGACACTCTTAACCCTAATCACATAGCTGAACATCACACAAACCAGCCCCTTCCTGGTTTGCTTACATGTTCACATGAGGGGAACAAACAAGAAGCAGCAAACAGATGCATATACGAGCATACATCTTGTTCATAATACGGTTTATTAAGCCAGGATTCTTAGTTCATTGTCATGTGTAAACACGATCAATATAAAGATGCCAAGGCCAGTTAAATCAACAAATCTCCTCCTCCTACCTTTGATATTTGCACATCACTATCTTGCAAATTCCACTGATGAAAAGAGCTACAGACGCTGGTGTTTGCAGATGCAAGCACTAAATTTAGTCACAAATTCTTTCCCTCCTTAAAACAAGTGGTGACTTGTTTTTTGTGGGGAGGGGTTATGGTAGGGAGAAAATATGGAAAGTAAAACAGCATTTAAAAACTTCTTAAACAAGTTTTCACTCCAGTGGAATTGAAAACTGACTGTTCAGCAAGGTATTTATGGTGGGGGAGGAGAAAATATTCATTACTGGACTGTACATCAACTGTAAAAACTATGCAGCATTTTGTGCACTTGGTGAAAACACTGAGAATATTTGGCAGTTGTTCCAACTGGTGCAACAGGGAGTCTGTCTCTTATCCTCAAATACCATTGTAACTTCTCTTTGTATTCACTGACAACTTCTGAAAGAACTCCAAACATTCTCTCTCCTCCTGCCCCACTCTCTCTCTGGCTTCTTACTCATGCAAAATATTCAGTTAGGTTAGTCTTCCCCAACCTGTGCCTTTCAGCTGTCTGTGCTACAACTTTACTAAAGGGGATGCTGGGAGGTGTAGTATAACACAGCTAATAGGGAGCAGCAGGGAAAGCCTGAAGTAGAGTTATTCAGATCACCAATGAGAATTCCTGCAAACCCAAAGATACTGATGGTGAACCCTGCCCTGAACAAGAATGACTCAACGACTCCTATCTCCAGAAACAGCTGGCCTTGCTAGAAGCTTTTTTTGTTTTAAACTTGGCAGGGAGTAAAGAAGGGTCGGGCAAGGAAAGCAATCCTTGGACCCAAGTGCAAGATCAAGATAATGACTGATGTCATGATTGCTTGGGGTGCAGCTGCTATTGTTCCACTAAGCTGGGCTTTCTTAACAAGGAATGAGGCCTAGTCAATCATTCAAACAAGGAAACAAAAACAAAGACCACAAGCAAATCAGAGACAGGAAAAGTCAAAGCTGGGTTAGGGAAAACCCAGCTAGATTCTGGAGAAATATCTACATTTGCTGGATAGAAAGAAGCTGCATGTGATGTGCAAACTTACTATAAAGTGTACACAGTTATTCTCACATTGTCTCTCTCATGCAAAGAGATGTAAGGGCAGAGAAAGTCCTGCAAATACCCATTTGGAGTCAAAAAGAGCACTTTTCAGTTCCTGTGCACAGAGGACTACTGCCTAGAGGAAAAAGCAGATGGGTGTCTTCTGGCCCCTCCCCCATGTGGCATGCACTGCCAATCCTACCCCCAAATACCTTCACACTGAGTGTAAACATCGGCAAAGGGGAGACATATGTCCAAGCATCTTTATGCACAAAGGTTTCTCCTTTGCAGATACCTGGACATGTTCTCACGGAAGACTCATATGAGACATTGAGAACTGGAGCAGGGACTTCCCATGCAACTTTCCCCGCGTTTGTTTTTCAAAAGGCTAAAAGACAAACACTCGTAGGTAAAGAGCAGTTCTCAACTCTCAAGTGAAGACTGGCATCATTTCAAGACAAGGTGTCAGTTTCCCACACTCGCACCTCAGAACAGCCTCTCCTCAGGCGTTAGCTGGACTCACTGCTAGAGGTCAGAACAGGGACTTTCTCCATACTTTGCCTCAAGACCAGTTAGCTTCAGTACGTGTTCTCTCTCATTTGAGTTCTTCAGTACCCCACCCCCGGCCAGTCTAAAAGACAACAGCAGCACTGCCATCTCCCAGCCCCATCTATTAAAAATGGAATGGAGAGAATCTCAAGACTTGCAGGACTATCCTTCAAGAGATTACACTGCACACTTTTGAACAGAATGCTTAAATAAACCCCAGAAAGTAAATTGCTCACTCAGGTCAGAGCAAACTGGGAGCCAGGCAGCTAGGACACCTTAGCCTGGGTCAAACACATCCAAACGTATGGAGTGGTCTTCTATTCAGCCTGAGCTTGAGCCCATGTAGACTGACAGCTGCTCTTGAAAGTTTCAGGCAAAGGTTCTTCCCAGCACAGCTACCTAAGATACGTTGGGTGGGGCATAAACATGGGACTTTAAAGAGGCAGAGTTTCTACCCTGCCCCTTAAGCTATGGGCTGTCTCTCGCTCGTCTGCAACAGCTCAGAACTCTGTTGGGTGGCACTCACCAGTGCAAGCGGAGAGCATGCAGGAATGCAGAGAGGCCTTCCATGACCAGTAAGATGGCCACCGTCAGGGTGGCAAAGGCAGCAAATATGAAGAACAAGGCCAAGCCGCCAGCCAAGCTCTTAATGTTGAGCCCCACGTGGATCACCATGGTCCAGAGTACTTCGGAGAGCTCTGTGAAGAGAACGTCAGTGCAAAGGATGGCTGATCAGTGTGGGACAGCCCCCGAGAAAAGGGAATTGCGCAGCCACCACCCACTCCAGACATCTGGGGTTGCCTGCTGCCTCAACACAGCAACGTTTCTTGAGTAGGGGAGATGAGTATACAAGTTCCCAAACTGAGCTGTGCTCCTAAATTACACCACAGGCAAACTTTCCCTATGAGAAAAAACCCTCCACTGGCATGGAGCAAACAGTTTGCACTCACACTGCAACTGAGGTTAGATCTTCTGTGACAGAGAGCAAAGGGGATTCCACAGTGTTCTTAGCCTTGTGTGCGGTGTCAGAGGGGACTAAGAGTACACAGGGATGGCTGGCCTGTTCTGGGCAGAAAGGTGCTGGTGACAACCCAACCCCTTCACTGTTCCCATGCCTTGGACTTTCCCTCCCTCATCCCTGTGCCCAACCAGTTACCCACATAGAAGCTACGCACGTGCATGGGCCAGGCTGAGTGCCCAGAGACGCAGGTATGATGCTGTGTTGGAGATGCATCCCAAGCAGAACTCAATCGTATGGATTGCCTGGTGGACAACTGTATCCCCAAAGTCAAACTGCAGGAAGATATTAAATTAGTTCTGAGTGAAAGGCAGAGCAATGACCAGAGATTTAATAAAGTGCAGAAAAAGAAGACAGGTGGAAGCAACTAATTCTATTGCAAGGAACCTCATGTTGTGCTTGGCCTTCGTATTTCTCTCTCTGGCTACAAGGACTCTGCAAGGTCATTTGCCCAATCTCACCTGAAACTGCAGAACAGACCGGCCTGTTCAGAGCAAAGAAAGGACCTCTGTGGGGGCAGCCTTACCTTCTAAGCCAAACTGAAAGCTGAAATTTGGGAACAGGATCACAACAAGGTGTGGGAATACTCCACCCCTGCATCTCTGTAAAGCTGTATTTGCTTGCCATCAGTCGTTACCCAATTGGCCATGTTTCTACTACTGGAACCCAGAACTGCCACACTGCATTGTGACTGGGTCCCTTTTGCAAATGCTGGACTTATTAGGAAATTACTTTTAAAATGTAAAGGAAATGGGCACCACGGGGGTGTGGGGGGAGACTGCCCTCCCATATCTGACCATTGTGTTCCCCCTGCTCAAAGTATCCCCTCTGGATACGTTGGCTATTTAAACCACTGTGATTAAGAAGGTCTTAGAAACAACTCTGAGGAGAGGACCAGTGACCAAAAAGACCAAGCATTGCAACAGCGACTACTACAGAACCCATCTTAGCCACATCTCAGAACCTCTGGAGCCTTTTTCCAAGTTGACCATATCCAGTTGAAGTTGCCATGTTTCAAATTGTGGGCCAGTGCCTGAAAAAATGCTTTATGATTAATAGTAGGAAGATGAATTGTGTGCTCTTTTCCCTTCTAAGCAAAACACATTTCAGGCTAGGAAAGTCAAACTACTTGTCAATGTTTGGGACTCTTGCCTAAGAAATTGGGAGGGGGGATGTTAGCAAAAGCTGCCCAGAAGAATATGCCAAGCAGGCTATGCAATTACTGATATCCAGAGATGCACATATTCTGTACTTCAAAAAGTTGAAAATACTGTATGAAATGAAACCAAATTGCTTTTGCATAATACAATCTGCAATTATTGTTTTACTATGCCACATAAATGATTCTCATTTTGCTAATCACATGGAGACACGAGAAATTATAGATGGTATTGAAGGCTCGTGTATAAAACTTAATTCAGCTGCATCTCTGGATTCTTCAGTTTCAGCAGGCACTTGCTTACACATTTTTCAAGTACACCATCACAGTGAAATGGGCTAGAAATGTGCTTTCTCTGCTAAATGAAAGCTGAGAATCTCAGGAAACTGAATTCTGCCCCAAAAATCACATTCTGCATTCTTTCGGAACAAGAGGGCAAGCATGCACAGTAACTTGTGGAAGCCTAAGGAGCATTTAAAGGAAAAACATCAGAACATGGTAGTATACACAAGTGAAGGAAATATTCCTTATTTTCACTTCAATGTAAAGATGGCTGTAGCAGTAGCAACAGCCTTGAATAAGTATACCCATATTAGGATTACAAGTGCATTTCGAGTTCTCCAAAGACCAGAGCACTGTACTAGTTCTTCTACAGCTGCAATCTGGCACAGACTCCACAGGGGCATGCTCCTCAACATGTTTATGGTTACTGCACAAAGGGAATGGAACAATTCAAGCACTTCTTTCTCCAACTGCACAACCTCTGGGTAGCTCAACACCAGAAATATAAAAAAGTTAAGAGGACCGCACAGCCTCAAGCAATACTGAAAATTACTCCTGGCTGTGATCCTTTAAGGATGCAGAGTGGCCCTTTCCCTTTGCTAAGTTTCTCTTGTCCAACAATTATTTTAACGTTGAATTGGTAAAACAGAAAGGAAAACCAGTTGGGCAGAAGTACCAGTGAGGCTCCGCACTGGAATCATGCTCACTTATGTGACACAACACTTCGAAGACTGTTAGGCATGCTTAATTTTGTTCCTCTGTGAAGAATTTGCTCCGGCCAGCAATAAGATGCACTCACATTCAAACAGAAATGCTGAAGAGCATATTGTTTTGAGGAATGTCCCCGCCTGCATTTACTTGGCCTGAGCAAAGCTACATTTCCCATCACTGCACTGATACCCATTATCAGAGCCTATTATCAAGTGGCTGCTGTCAAAAGGTTACTACTCTTCCTTTGACAGAGGTACCAAGGTCAAGAGGGCCTATTTTTTAATCTTCTATCAGAAAGTTAATTTTCTGGGGAAAAAAGCAGAAAAGAGCATCAGATTATTCATGAAATGGCTAAAGCAAGAAGCAAATATGCTAGGAACAATCCACAACCACCAGGAATCTCTCTTGGTCACATACTTTCAAACAGAAAACTGTGAAGAAAAAGTTCCCAGTTGATTGTGCCCAGACCTATCAACTCAGAATAGTTTACTAGCAAACATTAACTCTTTAAGACTAGCATCTTAATTTCATTTGACTTGAAATTCTCAACCATTCCTGCTCAATTTAAGCCTTCACAAAAAATTATTCTTTCTGGATCAATGCAAAACTGCTCAGTTCCCAATCTAGCTAAAATAATTTTCAGTTTGTTGCAGCAAGTGTAACTCTAGAGACTTAAGAAGCCTTACAGAACCAGAATTAGATCAAGTTAGAACACACTTTGTGAATTAAGATGAATATTGCACAGCCTAAGCCGCTAGAAAGCTCAGATCTAAGAATACACAAGCAGATCTTGCCAGAAGTGTCAAACTCATTTTTCAGGCAGTATATAACAAACTACTACTCGGTTTTAACATGTAGTCAAGTTCAGGACTTCCTACACCTGACCTGAAATGCCCATTTAAGAAGATGATCTGAACAATTCAGAAGAACATGGATGGGAACATCAAGGTCAGGAGCCTTGATTCCTGCTGTTGGGTTTCAGAGAAAGGCAACCATGGGTATGCCAAAATTCTGAATGAATTACTGTGTGCAAGACCCCACACAAAAGGAATCGGCAAAGCACAACCAAGCACAACAAGCCTGGGCTTGCTTAAGTACTATTTTATTGCTTAAGCTAATATTTTTTTAAAAAACAACAACACCTTAAAAGCAGGGACTGGGTTGGTCTAATAATAATAATAACAAGAAGTAGATTCTGGGTTTCCTGATACTGCTTTTCAAAGTTTTTAAATTTCTTTAGCAGTCTTGCACTTGGGGTGGTGGGACTTAATTGGCATCTTCCCCGTTATGCCTCCATCCTGTTATCTAACTTCATTGGCAGAATGAAAATTTATCCTATTTTATTAATGTTGTTATAAACCATCCCATGACATCTGTGATGCGATGATATAGAAAAGTTTTAAAGGAAGGAAGGTGGGAAGGAAGTCTATCCCATACCAGCTTCCTAGATGAGAGCCAACTTGCGAAACAGAGTCCACCACAAAGAAAGTCATTTATTTATTTATTTACCTCTTAACATGTTCAAAGCTGTGTGCATGCATGTATGTCTATAAGAGGGAATGTGAAGCTGGTTGACCTCATTGTATCAACAGTCAACTCCTTCATTTATGCAAATGGCCTGCAAATGATTGGAGCTGTTGGTGTGAGGTCTTCTTACCATTAACTTCAGGGAATGGGCACAGGAATAAAAAAGAACCAGCCAAATGAAAAAAGGCCCCAGAGATGCAGAGTTTAAATCCAATCTAGCTTAAAGGTGCAAATATATCCAAGTGAAATTCCAAAGGCCTCTGCTGGGATTCTATTGTGCCAACTCTGAGATTAGCTGGTCATACAAGTCAAATCAAGAATATGCAACTCAAATCTCAGGGATAATGCAACAACACTTGTCTAAGCGTATGCAGTGATTGAAACACACACTTTTAAAATGAAAACAAAGTTATTTTCTATGGACATTAATATTAATGGCCTCTAAATACAAAGCAAAATGAGCCTTCAAAAATGAGATACTAGGCAGCAAATTAAAAAACCCCTCCCAAGGCACAAATGCAAGTATGCTTAATTTTGCAAAATGATTTAGATTGATGGGAGAAATGGTCTGGATGAATACAAGCACAGAAACTGGCTGCAGGCTTACCACCTCCTCCATGGCAGGCTTGAAAACACAAGGAAACATTCAATGTGGTCATGCACTATTTTACAACACAAGAGCACCACATTATTAGATCAGCATAATTGTGCACTTGTGCCCTTCTGTCCCAAAACAGGCCTGTCTCTTTCAGTACAACGCCCTGAAATGCAGCAGTACTTTACGTTCCGTTTCCATCTGCAGTATGGGATAACGTCACTATCATTAGTACAAGAGCACTGTACATTAGAAAGTACTTTGAAGTGCACCACAAACTGGGCATTGTGGAATGAGTCATTTATAGTTCAGTGACAGAGCACAGAGACTGCACGTGGACAGTGCCTCTTACCTCCAATTAAGGAGGCTCTCAGAGATGAGGAATGAGGATGATGCCTTCCTGACCCGCTGGAGAGGCACTGTCAGTAAGCACAGATAGTACTGGGCTGGATGGAACAATGTTCTGACTCTGGATAAGAAATTTTCATACCATCACTTGCAAGAAATGGCCTTGTCTATCCTTCCATCTGAAAATGGCTTTCTTGCAAGGAACCCTGGGAATTTTAATTTTATGAGCAACCCAAGATCTATGTTTGGACTGCAGTTCCTTTGGGCAGGGTCAGAGTTAAGAAAAATCAAACTGCTTTCCAGTTTCAGCACAGACATCACCTCCTATAACTAGTGCCCTTGTTTACATGAATTCTGTAGGGATGGGAAGATCTAAGCCATCTGAATGAGGAAGAACAATTTATGCACACAAAAGTCAATTGCCAAGAGCCTGCCCAAATATGATTTAGCTGTCTGCACCCTGAGCCCTAATAGTCTGCACTGAAAAACCCAAAGCAGGCCTTGAGCTGAATGAGAGAGTGTTTGTTCAATCTTTTACTGCTGAATTCTCTAAGCGCAAAGGGAACTGAACAGTGACACAGTCCCATTCCTGATATCTGAATCCAGAGAAAATCAGAGGAAGAAGAGATAACATCTTCATCCACTGCAAACCAGACCTGAAGTTTTTAGCATTCTTCTTTGAAAAGGATCAAATCCATCATGAGGTAGTAGGATCTCAAAGACAGCACCTGCTTATTCTCACCACAATGTGAAAGGGGATGTTCAAGAGATTTTGGTGCAAAGCCACTGCAGGAAAAGGATTCTCATGTGACAGAACAAATATTCTAACCTTAAGGAAAAAGTCACTGAGCAACATATATGTTCAAAGAAGCCCTCCTTCACTGGGCTTACAAGGAAACTGCAAGACAGGGCAAAGGTATACAGGCCTAGTTTGATCTGGAAATACATGAGTCTTATAAGATTACCCAATCTACTTATCACAGAAAACATTATGGTAAAAAGGTACGAAATGGTGTACCTACCTCTTCTCCCTCATCTGAATGGGTTGAGAGCTGGTCATGCTGGATTATCTCAGCATCTTCTTCAGTTGGCCCGTTGCCTACACGGATCCCACCAAAATTGAGTGTCCCCTAAAGCAGTCAATAGAGGCGAGAGAACAAGAAGAGACACACAAACAGACCATGTTTTAGTAGGAGACTGACTGCCAGAGATGGCCCTTCCTTGAAAGAAGGGAAGACAGTCACCTCAGGTAGTACCTTATTCGGACCAGTAAGGGCACTGGCAGCACTGGAAAGAGACAGCTGTGACCCACTAGAAAGTTCTCATGTGTAAGTCCCACTGAGAGGGACAAGAACTGTGCGACTGCTGTTTAGGCCGCATGACAACCTGGTTTTCTGATCAACCAACACCCCGGTGCATTTTGTGGTATGTATGATCCCACCTCTAATAAGGTAATATGGCTTATTAGACTGGGAACAGCCCCTTCCATAACCCATGTGCTGCTGTAGTGTTACTGGAGAGTTGCTTCCCCTGCCAACAAGTCATATTACCCGAGTTCAACTAACATGAGAAGCCAATTATAGAGAGTGCATCGCATCACTCACCACCTTTTAAATAAGCTAGTATGGCTTCTTTTGATCAAGCAAACTGGCCTAATCAATTGACAGACTGAGCAGCTATCATTTAATTGCTCCACCTTAGGCACCACACTGTTTTAAGCTACCTATCATTAATGCATATTTGCTTTTGATATTTTTAACATATAAAAGTGGAGAATTTACATGAAAAATGTTAAGACTGCAACAGTGTGCCTTGGCCTGGTCCCTGGGTTGCTTCTCCTTTTGAAGAACTCTATGCCTGTTCTGCCAACTCTAAGGGTAGCTAACGCTAGAGCAATGACACTGCTCAAAGGGGATGGTTTACCCAACCCAGGGCCTCTCAAAATGAGATCAGGGATTAAGAGCTGAGGTGAAAACAAAAGAGGAAACCAAAATCTGAGGCTCCAAAATGCTAAAAAAGTGACACATGTGCAATCAGCAGAAATATGAGCTATTCTCTAGAAACAGACATAAACAGTGGCATATGAAAGAAATAATTTTCTGGCAAACAAGGAAAGGATGACAGAGAAGCCTGCTGGGCTCTCTTGCTGGGTATAGTTGACTGGCCCCCTCCCCTCAAATGACTGAAGCAGGAATGCTCAGACCTGCCCTAATATGGGATGCCTGGCCTGACCAAGCCACTCCCTTTTGGGGGTTCCTGCTCAGTCATTTGGGACTCTCAGTATGTGCAGTTTTCCTCAAATTCTAGAAAGCAACATGCTAGACAGCAAGATTGTTATGAAAACTTAGATGAGTCAAGTGTGTGTTTACTTTTGTTCCAATATTAAATGTCTATTTTTATTTATTTGTCTATTTAGAACAACACTATCATTCAATCCTAAAGAAAATCAACCCTGACTGTTCTTTAAAAGGACAGATGCTGAAGCTGAAGCTCAAATACTTTGGCCACCTAATGAGGAGGGAGGGACTCATTGGGAAAGACCCTGATGCTGGGAACGATTGAAGGCAAAAGAAGAAGGGGATGGCAGAGGTTGAGATGGCTGGGTAAGTCACTGGTGCTGTGGGTGTGGGGTTGGGTGGACTCCTGGAGGGAGTGAAGGACAGGGGAGCCTGGCATGCTATGGTCCATGGGGTCGCAGAGAGTTGGGCATGACTTCGCGACTGAACAAGACAAGACAAAAACACTATCCTGGGCTTTAAAGGAGACATCAAAAGTTAGTGTTGAAGGAAACAAAATAATATGCAAAAAAGCCAAATACCACTCACAGTGTAATTTGCATGAACTGCAAAGCACTGTAGACGCACAAGCTGACCACTAGAGATTCACTTCCCTACCATTAACTTCACCCCATAAGCTACCTAATTGGAAGCTCCAGGTACAGTGGCAGTATAATTTTGAATAGCAGATGTTCAATGTTTGTATTGTGTTTGTAAACTCTTAGAGGAGTCTGGCTGGCTGCTCAAAACAGAATGGTGGCCTAGATGGCCCAGCAGGGTAATTCTTATGTTCTTAAGCCTGCTTTTATAACCTCAAAATGTCCTGTACTCCAAGTGAAAGCAAAAGATTCTCAAGTGTTGAATTTTACATAAAACATCTAATTCTACACTTATGCTATAGCAGGACTGCACAATATTCTACCTTTTGCAAAGTTAACATCTAAATACCATGCCCAATTTTACACTGGTGATCATCTTATTTGTTCCAAGAAAATGGACAAAGCCACTACATACAGGCAAGCCATTCATGCAATTTCAAAAAACTTTTAAGAAGTGAAACAGAATCACAATCAGCTTTTTTACCATTCAGCAATCATGAGCACATCACAACTGTTGCAACTTTATAAAGGTCTGAGTGTACAAAGAAAAGCAGCACTGAATTGTACAGCAGATAGTTCACAGCCACATGGGACTCCTAAGTGTACATTACTTAGTGGACAGCAAGACACTGGTGAAAGCAAAGATGGGAACTAGAAGGCATTCCTGAGGAGACACCACCATGTATGGCCGTTTGAAAACATGAGATGCAAAAATAAAAAGGTACTGAGGAGAGAAATCCTGGATAGAAATATGGAGGAGGAAGAAAAAAGTAATCGAAAACAGGCAGCTATACAAAAACCAAAGACCTTTCATCTGGAAAGAAGGGCCATTTTTCCACACTAGGATGAAAGATCCTTTTTTATGCTACAACAGTGGTTTTCAAACTGTGTGCCCAGGAACTCTGCAGTTCTACAGAGGCTTATCAGAGGATTCACAACAGGACTGATAATAGTGGACAAACTGCCCATAAGTTCAGAGTGTTGGGTGTTTGCACAGAGGAATCGTTAATACCCCAAAACTTGGCTGGCACTCAAAGCAAGTGCATACTTCAGGAAAAAAACCAAGAATCTTCTGTACCACAATTGCAGGTGTTCCTTAGCATCAAAACCACATTATACAATTGCATCGTATCCTCCATGTATGAGAGTGTAGATTTTGGAATGCATGAGATTATTGGAAGGTATCTTTCTGAGGAAAGGTGCTGTGCTGTCCCTCCTCAGGGCAGATACTTTCCAAAGCCCCTGGCACCTCCCGTTCGCGCCATGTGCATCATTTGGCATCTTTTAATCCACTCACTGTTGCAGCCGCTGCTGCCTCTACTGCCTGCGGGCTCTGAGCTGGGCTGACGGGGGGTTCCACAGGCTGCCCTTCCTGATAGTGAATGGAAGGAAAGAAATGGGGAAAGGAGAAGAAAAACAAAGAGAAAAGAAGGGAGACGAATGGAGGGGTCATGGGAGGATGAAATGTCAGAAAAGGAAGAGGGAGTGTCTTTAACCGAGCTGCACTTTGAAGGGCTGTTGCATCCTAACAGTTGCCCAATATGTGCCTGTCACAAGAAGACCACAACTGCAACCTAATGGCAAATCTTTAGAGACTCACAGATGACAAACTACTTTCCTGAAAGCCAATCGCCCATGCATGACATGTTTTGAAACTAATTCTAGATGTCTCCAATGTGTTCAAGTCAATGATAACCAAGACGGCAGCTTTCCTGTAATAGTTCTGTTGCCAAAAGACTACACAAGGCCCACACATCTAAGTGGTTGTCACAGTTTGCCTTTTCTCTGACAGCAGCATCCTACTTAATATGGCAAGCCTCTTCAGGAACCAAAGGGAATGTCAAAAGTTGCTTGTGATACAAAGATAGGCCAACCAAAAGAAAAAGGAAAAAATCCCACCGGGTTGGGCAGATCTGAAATAGCTACTGGATCCCATCCTCTGTGTAGCACATGCATGTATACAGATCAGGATTTCAGAAGACAGATCTAGACAGTTTTAGGCCATCACAACTGTGGCCCAACAGATAAGCATGATTTAAATTGCAATCCTAAAGATAGAAGTAAGTCCCATTGATTGCAATGCGTTTTACTTCCAAGTAAATATGTTTAGGATTGAAATGCAGGTGTTCCCATCTAGATGCAGATTTCCATAGCAGAGAATTCAACAGGGCCTCTGGCACTGATTTACAAAAAAGACTCCTACTAAGAAAAATGAAACACAGCACCCACCAAGTGCTTTCTTCGCAGGTACTGTTGACGAAGGACCAAAGGTTTGGCAACCAGCATCCATGGCACACACAGCAGCGCCACCACTACCAGGAAGCACTGGATACCCTTCTGTAGGGAAAACACATGAGCTCTGTCAGACGTTTCACCGACTTGGAAGCAGAGGGCAATATGTCAGTGGTTGAGTGCAGAAGCCCCCACCCCCTGAATTCTTTCAGAAGAAACTGTCCACACTGCCCTATCTGCACAAGGTCTAAAACCTTGCTCTTAAATCACAGCTCTGGTCCCAATTTACTGCACATATGGTACAGTACAACAACAGGACATTCTGAATAAAATAAAAGCTCACATTTCCTTTGTTTTGATTTGCACTATGGAAAACCACAAAATGGTGAGCCACAATCTATATTATGTCACCAAATGCCAGTTTGAGATTTCTGGCCCTCCCCTCCCACCCTTAGTTCATCTCTACACTTAAGCACCCAAGTGTGAAATTCATGCATACAACAATGTTCACCTACCTGTCCCGTGTAAAGCATATTGGCTTTGGAATCATAGGAGAAGAGAAACATGTTGATGAAGTGGATGAGAAGGCTTGGTGCATGCATAGAGTTCTTAGCATCGTAGGCCACCCACTTATAGAAGATGAGGATGACCAGATAGCCAAACAGCGATGACATGAAGATAATTTCTGGGATAAACCCAAGGAAGATGTTCAGAGGTTTCTTAAAATAGCTGCAAAAGTACAAAGAGATACACTATTTTTCAAACTAATTATAGTAGTCCTGTTCTCATAGAATGGCTACAACTGGCAGCAAATTGTGGGTTAATTAACCACAGTGCCATACACAACTTGGGAGCTGCTTCCAGTTTCTGTAAACAATCTACTATTTTGCTGTTCATAGGTTATTAACATCGCAGTCGATCTCAGATCCTTTGGGATAAACAACCCAAAGTTGATTCATGAACAATTTCCTATTCCATGCGTTCATGTACACATTTACAGAAGAACCATTACATGTCTAAGAGAATCCTGGGTCATTTTCTAGGATACAAACTCTGCTCGTGTGAGGTGCTGGTCCCCATCCTCATTAGTGTTAGCCTAATTTTACTTCCCTAACGTGACCTGAGGGGTGGCCTAGAGCACACCAAATACTTTCCTGCAGCTGCCCACTACAACAGATGAGCATTAATACTGGATAAGAGGCATTCGTTCAATGCCAGATTTCTCATCAAGGAAAACCTGAAAAGTTTCCAAAAGCCTGTAATGTTTCTAGGAGCACACTGTTCTAAATGCATCTCTGTTCCTCTTTACTCTTCCTTCAGGAAATGTCCCAAAAGCTGTTCTTCAAGAATTCACAATGATTTCCCCCTTTAAGAGATCTTTATTCCTTTTCTAATTTTCTTTTTCTAAGCTGCTTTAACTATGTGATTTTACAGGCTATATTGTAGTATGAAAAATGCCTGGAGCATCAAGGGTAGGAGGAATACTATGTAAATATTAACTGTGATCTATGTCACAAGGTGTTCCCTTTGGGCAGGAAGAAAACCTGACCTCATCTGTGATTGAAGGATATGCTCATATCTGAAAGTGGTCAAAAAAGAATGTCAAGGTTCATATCCCCCCACCCCCCCACACACACATACACTTGCACCTGCTCTTGAACATAGAGTCACATTGTCTGAAATGATTAATTAATCAATCGTTATACGATTCACAAGAGAATGAAACAGGAGATGCAGTGGATGAGCCTCACCCTGGGAAGATCACCTTCATGATCATGGTGATTCCCCTGTGACTTAAGTATTTGTAAATATACAGTTAGGATGGAATTTCTGTGCTATAAGAAAACAATTAATTTATTACAATGGATAATGTGACAAAGCCTACAATTGATTCATACTGTATTTTTATTTGTATCTGCCATGTACTTGCAATTTTTCAAAAAGGACACTCACATATGGTTGAACAGACTGAGAGTAACCCCAAAGAGCATGTGGATGATGCCCAGAATGACAGACATCTTCATTTTAAAGGAGTTGAGGAAAGTCAGCTTGTTGGTGGCAATATTCCAGATCTAGCACAAAGACAAGATCAGAGTGTTTAGAACTACAGGAGGAGAAAAAGACTAAACATACTCTTACTACCCAGTATACCCAGGCCCATCCATTATATCCTCACCAACAACATAAGTGACCCTTTCTTTGTAGGACAGCCTTTGGCTTCAAAGAGCATTCTTGAGACTGACAGCTTTTCTTAAGTATTCCGGTTTGTAGGTCTCATGATTTTAAGGCAGTCTTTGTGAGTGTAGTGGCTCAACAATAGTTTTGTGACTCCGTTAGACTAGCTAAACTCCCAGCCCCTGTCCCCTTCAGGTACTTCAAGGATTTCCTGACCCTCCTTGTAGATTCTGGAATCAACTTTCCTGCACAACACACACTGGAGTCCTACAACCAGTTTTGTCCTTTAGGATTGAGTTTTATAAATAACAAAGTTATTTTTTATTCAGTGGCAGTAGCATGTCTTATTTCTTTCTAGTCTAATGGCACTTACTTCAGTTATGAAATTGGAGCCATTTCAAACTGAAATGATAAAATTTGAAACTGCTTTTCTTCAGTTTGAAAAGGCTGTGTGCGTGCGCGCGCACACACAGAGAGAGAGAGAGAGCGCATGGATGATCATGCATGCATGGATGAACTCTTTTTTAACACTCTCTCACATAAAGGGCTCCATGTATGTGGTAAACTAACACATCAGAAGAGGACAGATTCAGTGTAGGTCTTTCCTCAACATGTATGTATGAAAATTTTACATGGGGAGCAGGAAACATTAAGAAAATGCCAGATTCAAGCTGAACTGGCACAGCACAGGATTTTGCAAAATGTCCCTGATACGCAATAAATTAACAGTCCCTCTCATTCAGCCCATCACTCTCAATTCAGCCACAACCCAACAGCTTCGCTGGTCAGAAGATAAATCAACTGAAGTTAACAAGGCAGTGAACGTTGGGTAAGAAAGCAGGATGAGCAAAATACACGGGGAAAATTGAAAGGGGGAAAGAGGGATTCTTACTGGATCTATGCCAAAGGGATATGCCCCACCAAAGACACCATCAATGGCAGGATCAAGCTGAAGCACAGGATATTCCCGGAGAAGGTCATCACTGCATGGATGAGAACAGAAAGCTACATGTAAGACCTTGAGAGGTAAAACACAGGAACAACAATACCAGTATATCATAAGCACAAAGAGCTGAAAACTATCAATTTCAATATGTGTTACTATGTTTCCACTACATCCTCCTTTCTGATCACTCCCCCACTCTCCAAAAACTCCCATGGATCAGACACCCTCCTAACATCTGACACACTCTTACCTTCCTGGATATCTCATTACTTACCTCCAGTTAGATTTTTGGAACATTGGCCGGACACTCCAGGATGAGCCAAACATATCAAGTGACTTTGAGAAGCAGTCATTATAGATCAAGCCAGTGTAAATGGAAAAACTGCCCATCAAGAGAATGATGTACCGACCACTGAAGATGGTGTTGAACATCTAGCCAGTTAATTGGTTAGAAAAGGAGAATTTGGGGAGGGAGGCAAAGAAAACAATTAAAAACACGAACTTGAGATAGCTGACCAAGACAGAGTTTCAAAAAAGGGCAATACGACACCGCTGTGTATCTTCTACCTCATTCAAGGGCCTGGGCAGGCATAAGCCTGATCTAGAAGAGCAAAGCAATTCCTGGGAATGTCAGTTGGCTGGTTGCTCTGCAGATAAGAGCAGGAAATAACCTGAATTCTAGCACAGGTGCGCACCAAAGAATGTGATGCCTTCTATTGCAAATCTGACTATCAAACTGGGGATATGTAAAGAATGTAAGACGGAAATCCATTAGATTTCTTTGGCTTGGCTCCTCAAATTACAGTCCACTTTGCAACAGCTCACAGTCTGAGATCCTGGTGAACATGCCCAGCATTCATGGGGCATTCTCTAGGAGTCAAACTCCATCCGCTGTGCAAGCAGCACCCCTTCTGCATCCTAGGAGCAGCCACTGATGCCAGGAAGGCAACCCTGCTTTCCTTGCAGGTCCCTTACAACCTCTTCTGCGCCAGCTGCAGCTGCCTTTTGGGCTGCTACAGCTAACACAAAAAGAAAGGTGCTGGTTGCACAACTGTGGGTCTGTGAGCATTCATGGAAGTCCTCACAGCTCAGCTCACTTTGAAGACCAGACCAAGCACAAGAGGAAGCCCACAACTGTTTGGAGGGATAGATTTCAATATGGTTCATCCGAACCCTAGATCAAATCAATTCTGAGTAAATGCAACTACATCAAGTCTAGTTAAGCTTGTCTGCACACTTGACATCTCTGGATCAAACTCTAGGTGTGCACTGTGCACATCTCAAAAGCTTATTAGACCATTTTTAAAAGTTCAGGAGTAAAGACCATTAAAGTTAAAACTGCACTTTGCTGTTCTCACCTAGAATATAGAGTTCTTCACATACAGACAGGATCAAAGCAATCTAAATTCTTCACAAGCAACCAGACATTCCCTTCTATTTTGCATGTACTCCCTTTCTTCCCCACTGCCCTGGCACCCAACTAACCAAGTGAGGGACAGTGCCCATACCTCATTGTCATTCTTCTGTGACAGAATGCGGCTCTCCCGGAACACCATCCAGGCAGCAAAAAGGGTCATGATAATTCCATGGCCAAGATCCCCAAACATCACAGCAAATAGAAATGGGAAGGTAATGATTGTGTATGGAGCTGCAAAGTTATGAGAATAAAGATAAGCACTTGCTAGAACAACACAGAACATCTACTGAAAGAGGGGACCCTCAACAGTTCTGGATCCCAAACGATCCTCACAATTAGACCTACCAATGATCTCTGATGAGCTGGCTAACCATATTTTGAAAATCATTTACTGGAAATCTTACTGGTAATTTGTTTAGGGAAAAGCATAAGAAATACTTCTCAGAGTCAGTGTGGATTCGTGGTTAGAGCACTGTATGGGCACTTGGGAGATTCTACTTCTAGTCCCCACTCAGTTATGAAATTCACTGTAGAACTCTGGACCAGTCGCAGATGCTTAACCTAACGTATCTCACAGGGCTCCTCTTGAGAACCTTGTAAGCAAGCTTGCGTTCCTTGCAAGATGAAGACAGACAGAATTTAAATGCAGTGTAACAACAAGTAATCTGTATGTGGAATAATCATATCCATAGATACAATGCAATGCAAAATCTTTGATTTTAGGACTGCCTCCCCTCCACTCATCTCTAAGTCCTAAAACTCTGGAGTAGCAGGATGCTACACTTATCCATTCTGCTCTGAGTTCTGCATAATGTGCAAATTCTTTCACAAGCCATGGCCTTAGAAAAAGCTCTTGCAAAATCAGCTCCAGAAGAAAAGGGGTTTCAATACACATGAAACTTCTGACAAACCAAACACTGTTTGTAAGAAAATTGGCTTCATGCTTATTCTAATTAGATTAAAAAGCAAGCTGACTTATTAGTTCACCCATTTGTCCTACTCAGCGCTCAGGTCCATTTCTATCCAGCCTTCTTTCTCTTCTGCTAAAGAGCCAGTTTGCTCTAGAGAAAATGCTACATTTTCATGGGTAGATATTGTGTTAAGCAGACAACCAAGAACTACATCCAAGGAGACAACAACACAAAAAAATTACACTGGTAAGAAATTGCTTCATTCCTTATCTAGTTCTTTTTGAATGCTAATGTATTCCATTGCATGTGAACTAGCATAATTGCCTATTTAAAGGGGAAAATGTCTTCTAAAGACTCTTATATTTATTCCTACCTTTTTCCTCTTGTGGGGAAGCCAAAGTGGCTTACATTATCTTCCTCCTCTCAATGTTATCCTCACAACAACCGCCCTGAGAGTTAAGTTAGGCTGAGAGTGACCTGCTCCAAGTCATCCCATCAGTTTACACAGGGTGACCCCACCCCCATACAACCTCAGGAATTTATTAAAAATTGTGTATTTATTTTTACATGTTCAACCTTCAGTCATCTTCAAAGTCCTTCCATTTGATGCAACACACCTATCAAGACTTTTTTCCCCACTGCTCAAAGCAGGTTTTGAATATGTCAATTCTGATGCCTTTTAGTGCTTCTGCCATTTTTTGTTTCACTTCTAAATCGGCAAAACGTTTCCCTTTGAGGACATTTTTCCTCCGGGGAAACAAAACAAGTTGCACAGGGCAAGATCGGGTGAATAGGCAGGGTGGGGCACAAGGGTCAAAAACTGTGGAACACTCAGCTGAACAAAATTTCACCATTGCACGCTGAAATAGGCAAACACATTGAAAGAGTCTCCAAAAAAACCTCACTGAAGCCGAATGCAGCCTCTCACAACAACCCAGCTGGGTACACTGATGCAGATGGGTTCTTAGAACACTCACCCAGCGGGGGAAACCTGTACTACAAAGGGCCTGCCCTCCAGAAGATAATTCCTGATTTTTTGGGGTCCCCTGTCATATGACCAAGCAGGTACTTGATCCCAGAACTCCTGAGTCTCTGGTATAACAGTCTAACTATCACACCACACCGGCTGTTAGCTTTGATAAGATGGACTTGCAATGAGATGCTGCAGTGAGGGCAGTTATATTGTGAGTTCAATATAGTCAACCAGCCATAGGTTTTTAAAAAAAAAACAGATATTCCATTCTATTTCCCCTCCAGTTTTATTCTCAAGTGTGATCCACCACAGAACTGTAGGGTGCTGCTACTTAAGATGTAAGCTACTCTATTCCATTTTCCCTTTAATCACCTCCACTTTTCTGTCCCCACCAGCCCCGCTAGTCAAGTCAGCATCCTGTGCCCAAGCAGGCTCAGTCCTCATTGTGCTGCCTTTCAACCCTATTGTTCCACTTTAGGGTGTTTTCTTTAAAGATCATGTCTGTGGGTGTGGGGATCTGCAAACCTTGGGACTTCCCTGCTTTCCTGGCTAAGTGGAGGACTGTAATTTTTCAGGACTGTAATTCATCCTATCTGCAGGATGCCAGGTTGGTGCCAGGTGAGGAAGGTGGCCTACAGGTTAACCAGAAATTGAGTTCTCATATTCAAAGGCAGCATATCCCTAGCAAACACTGGCCGTATTTCTCTTCAACATGTTCTGTCCATAAGCTTCCTCAGCTATCTGCTTGGACAAAGCACTTCGCTACACTGACCTGACACTGAATGAGTCTGCTCTCTGTGTGTGCTTGATTATCAAAATATGCAAGCTGTTATTGCAATACAACTTCAAACAGACATATGCATCCATGCTATAAAAAGAGATGCCTGCCTGGCAAGAGGGAAACATTTTAGCATTTGTCTAATAAATGAAGCTCTAAGAGTACATTGCCACAGTATAATCATTTACTGTGTTTCAAACTGTGTTTGTGTTTTAATGAAGGATATGATTTTGCTGTTGTTGTATAATGTCATATTACTGATAGTTTTATACTGTGACTTTAGCATTTTAAGATTACATTTGATTGTTTCTGTTCTGTTGTTGAAGCACTTAAGAGTATCCTAATATTTTAAAAAATCCCAAACTATAAACTCTTGAGTAAAAAAAACTATGCTCAATAGAAGACCGGCTGAGAGTCCACAGGATGGTGCAGAGCCACTCTTGTGCTTACAGACAGCAAGGCCTGCCAGCAACACCTCCAGAGGTCTCCCTGGTACAGCCGTAGAAAGCCCCATCACTATCCTGTAAAGGACGCCAGAACAGTGTTCCAGGGGCATATCAGGGCAGGCCTCAGATAGCTGATGCAGTAAACTCCCACCTACTGGAGATAGCTTGAAGGACAATGGGGAAACTCTGGGGCAGGAAGAACTAGAAAGAGCCTGTCCCACTCCAGGCACAACAAACTGCCAGGGCTCTGAATGTGGCAGCAATCTGATCACATGTCTTCCTTGCCCCTGTGAGAAGAATTCAACTAGGCACCTTCTCAACAGCTGCAGCTTTTGATTTTAATTTTCCCACCCCATCCCCAAGTTTCCATAGTTTACGGGGAAAACATGGTGTGAGGCACTTGTCTTGTAATGCCTGTATACACAAGCAGCCAAATTTCTGTTCTCTCTCAGTTCTTCCTTGTAATTTCCACCTCAAGTTGTACCTCTCCTACCCACTTCCTCTTCTCCAGTTCAGTCCCAATTGAGACTGAATTAGCAACTGGAAAAGGAGAAGAAAGAATAAAAATTCGTTTGCTGTTGAGACCCAAATTTTGAGCTCTTCACAGCTAGCTCTGCATCTTTCAGCTTTCACTTTGTTCCTCTCTAACATAATACCCACCCACTGCACAGCTGTCTATCTTTGAGAGAAGTAGCAAAAATAGTTTGTTAAAACCAGCACTGAGGTCTTCTATTCACAGATAGCTATCTATTGCAGATTTTGACATTCAAAGTAGAGGACATTGAAAGGAGCCTTAATTGTGCACATAACTTGCTTTATTTGGGGTTTTTAACAACAGTTTATTACTGATTACACTTGCATTCCATACTGGCTATCATAGAAGCAGTTTACATGGATTTCCCACTGGTCTCCTGTCCAAAAATAGACTAAGTCCACAGCTTCTCCAGGGCCATGCAGGATTAAATGCTCCCAAGACATTATTTGGGCTTATAATTTTGGTTGATTTGTATGGGAGTTGGGGAGAAAAGAAAAAATCTATACTGCAACCTGTATTAGGGTAAGCCTTTTCACACACTCATGCATGGGTCAGAAATAAAGAACAGCTGGGCACATCCAACAATACATCACCAGTTGGAAGCAAGGGCTGTTTGTGTAGCCATTCTACATTACCTGGATTAATTTCACGGTATGTTCCAATGCCATAGGCATCTACTATGTTTTGAAAGCCAGCAGTGAACTTGTTGGTCTTGTTATATGTGGGTGGAGTCTGGTTGGTCTGCATCCTATTCAGGATGGAGGGGACAGTGGATCCGCTGTGCTCCTGTTACTCAGAAAGGGAAAAGAAATTAATAAACTTGCTTACTGTGGAGCAGAAGCCCAAATTAAATTCAGACACATACACGTCTTTCCAAGTTATTTTTGAAAGCTGCATGTTGTCACTTTGCAGGCTCCCTATAGGATTGTGCAATGTCTTTTGCTTCTAGGTTACATGAGAGGGTTTGTTTCAAAAAGAACCAAAAGAATGTTCAGATTGAATTACTTTCAGAGCCTCAACCAGCAACCTAATTAATGGATTCCATCACACTCCCTCTTAAATACCTTACTATGTGCTTGTTTCTTTAAAGTCGAAACCTATACAGTTTATCAAAGTAGCCAGTGTGCTTTTAAAGCCAGTGAGAAAGCCTACATCACCAAAGGAATCCAGAGCAAAAGGAAGTCAGTTGTCCTAAGGGCACAATGAATGCTGCTTGAACTAGAAATAATACCTAGGCAGTGGGTGCGTCGTTCAAAACCTAGGCATGCCTCCCCTCTAGAAAAAGCTGAGGAATGCAAACTGAAGGCCATGTGTTTAAGTTGGACAGATATCAAGTGGGAGTTCTCTGCTCTTTTCCTGTCCAGAGGTGGAGATGACAGGAGTTTTCTAAATAAGGAATCCCACTACAGTGCAGCCCTGTGAATGGGCCCTTACTGAAATACCTACATAAGGATGGCGAGCAAGAGAAATGAGAGCACAAGCATGCTTGCAAAGGGCAAAGCAGTCCTTCATGCACATGGAGGAAGCAGCTACTGGTCCTGTTCAGACTCATGTCACCTCCACTTCCCAAACAAGAGGTCTTTCTGTGAATCAAATGTTTTACTTCTGAGACCCACAGATCTCCCCGCAGTCATTTTGCCTATAAAGAAACTTTCACCAAAAAGCACAGCCAGCAATGGTTCCAGGGCATCATGGCAGAGCTAAAGAGGCAAGAATTGTACTCACTGTACCACGTCTGAGGGCAAACTGAATGGAATCGAGGTCAGCAACAGGACACCAAACTTCAGCAATGAGGCATTTCTGAGTCACATCGATATTGCAAAGGTTCAAGGTGTGGTAGATGGCCTTCATCTTGCGCACCTTGATGAACCAGACACGGACATTCTTTGCAGCAGCCTGCAAGACCCTCTGTCGATGATCCTCTGTTTGGTTCAGCACCTGCAAGAGGAAAGGGGCAGGGCCTGATACATGAGAGATGCTCACTACATTTCAAGACCGTCCATAGCTGAAGGCTCTGCTGCAGCAGCCAAAACCAGGGTTATGTATACTAGAAATTCTTCACACACACACACCCATGAATTCAAATTCAGGATTTATTGTTGAATTTGAGTCTGATCATATTTTTGATCTCTCTTTAGTTGTTCATCTATAATTTATTTTGCAATAAACACACACAGACATACAGAATGCACACATATATAAATCTCACAAACTGTCTAAAATAATTGAATTGCCTGTATTCTTAACACACACTCTTCTCCTGCTAAGCCAGACAAGGTGGAAACAGGTCTACAGAGCATTCTTTTGCTACTCTATGAGCTATGGAAAATCTGTTCAGACCACTCTAGTTTGAGACTGAAAATATTTTAAGATTATCTCTGCAGTTGTACCAGATACAGCTGCAAGTATGTGAACATAGGGATAAAAACACACTTGAAATATGGACAAGACTACTCCTGCTCACTCACTCCAATGTTCCAGTTCTATGTATTGCCCACACAGAAAGCACGTTTTTAGTCAATCCAATCTCAATACTGCCTATTCTAATGGAAAAAATAAATCACTCACATTTCTACTAAGGGGACGGTTGGCCCTTCCCTACCTCTGGCTGATATTTACTAGAAAAAGTACAGCAAGGGAAAAGAACTACACAGAGAACTGTAAGCTCCAAAGAGAATGCACATCTCAAATGTGTTTAACTCAAAGAGATTTTTATTGTTGCTTTTTAAAAAGATGAAAACAGACTAGATTCTTGCAGTACTTTTGTTACTTTAAATACATTTTATATCTGCTTAGGTTACAATTATGTGCTTGTTTATTATATGCCTGTTTAAAACAGAAAAAGTTCTTAGAACTTTCAGCAAGTCCCTGCCAGCAACATTGGCAGGGGGATACTGGGAGTTGTAAGATTTGAGGGGAGGTGGCTAAAGATGGCTTATATATGGATGCCTGGTCAGATGTCACAAGAACTGAGACTTGTGATCCTACAAAAGCATTAAACACATACATGATCCGAGACCTAAGCTTTCTTGGGCCAGAGCCACTTAGTGCAACACAAGAAACAAATGAAGACATGCTCTACACCCCATCCTTTGGTTCAGCCCTATAATTTCTGTGATGTTGCTTGTACACACAAACTCCAAGAGTGTAGTGCAGGAGCCTAGTGAGAGAAGGAATAGTTTGCTCCTCTTGTCCAGTCAAGAAAATGGCACTGGAACACATGGGAATCAGGCACAGAGTTAAAGGGGGCTGTGAAACCTTCCAAGCTCCCACAGAACCAGGCCTAAGAGGAGACTGCCTAAAGCTACATATGGTTCTAGAGACACCAGACATTAGCAATTGTATCTCAAGCCCCTGTACCCCAAATGACAATATGTGAATGTTGATAAGTTCTCCTACAGCATAGGAGGCCAAAAGAGAGAACAAAGTCAGGCTCACAGGTACAGCCAGTGGAAAGAAAATCTCCACCCTCCCTCTCCCCATCAGCATTTATACCATCTGAAGATCATCAATTCTGGTGTTGACTCCTGCAGCCATTTCTTTCCTTTCCTGTGGTGTTTCTGGACAGGGGTACAGAGAAGCCCGGAATCTGAAAGATACACAGACTGTTAAGTAACAGATAAATATATAAAATGACCCAAGATAATGGGATGCTCACTCTTGAAAGACAGCTCTACATGAAAAATAACTGACTGGGGGCAGCTGCAGAAAGTGTGACAGCAATTGTTACTCAAAGAAAAGAACTCAAAATGAGTTGAAAGCAGATTGGGCTCTATTCAAACCAAAGAACCTTTTATTTCAACTTCCTTACCCTTCACAGATCTTCTTGACTCTATTTTTCAATTGGTCACCTTGGAAAAAAATAATGAACACAGACTTGTGCACGTAGTCACCCTAGAAGAGAGAAAAACCTGATGCAGTAAGTGCCCCTAAAACAGCAACAGATCAAGGATTTGGGATTAACCACTACAAAACTTCAAGTATTGCCACTGCATTATTCATTTACCATTAATGGTCTAGCAGACTAGTATCTGTCTTGGACCAGGAAGACTCCATTCAGGTCCACTGCTCAGCAATATAATTGCTGAATAAAATCTAAACCTAATCTACCACACAAAGATGCTGTGAGGGTAAAACTGAGGGAAATCATTTGCCTAGAGGCCCTTATGGAAAGTAAAACCAACCCACTGAGATATCCTGAAGATGGTTTTATGGGTTGAAATCCCACACACTCAGCAGCCTGCTTCTGGTGGCTGCAGTCATTATCTTTTACAACATTCAGGGGGGAACAGATTTGTGAGTTAAGCTTTAAAATTTATCCAGCTCTTCCACAGACCTCGCAAAGCTCTCACAACCATTCTACAGAGACTACCAAAAAGTCATATAAGAGGTAGGGAGATACCTCACTCAGCTTGAGCTGAATAATGAAGAGGGGGAGCAGAGCAGTATGAGTCCATCTAACTAACTTTGGCTACTGGGATAGCAAAGTAACTGCAGAAACCAGGCAAATACGCCAAGCAGCTGATCAAGGACACAAACTAGAGTAAACATGCAGGAGGAAAAGAAGTGAATAGAAAGGAACTGATTTTGGTGGTGTACTTTGGAGTCCAAACCCTTGAACTCTCCCGGGAGGCCAGCAATGCATTCTTTTAGCAGCTGGCTGGAGTCAGATAGCAGCTCCCTGCCTTCCTGCATTTGTTCAAACAAAACACTAGACAAGCTTTATTAGGAAATGTTGGCACAACTTCGATAAGAACAGTAGCACTGGGTGCAACTTCACAGTCCATTGCAATTTCATCACTTAGAGACAGAGAAAGCTGACAGGATTCAAAACACATTCTCCCCGCATTAAAAAACAAAACAAAACCTGCACCGCAGGATTAGATCTTGCCGTATTATGAATATGCACAAGCAGCAAACCTAAATGGATTTCTTTATTTATACTTCAGTGGACACAAGATAGGTGCAAACAAGTTATGGCTTATAACTGCCAAAGGAAGAAAGGGAAGGTCTCATTCTTGGCCTCTGGAAGCCCCTCACATACCCCTCAGAACTTTTCACAAACCCCAGATTCTCAGGTTCTAAACTGAGATATACAAGTCTGCCCTTGTACAATACAAAGCCTGCCATTACTCAGTAGCAAGGAAAATGCACTCTGCACATGCTTCAAGGCAAAGGTGAGCAAACTGAAGCCCTTAGGCTAATTAGATAAATTTTACTGTGGTCAAAGACCAGCTCAATGTGCATAAATAAATAGAATTTAAAAGGAAGGAAAATATGTTAAGAATTAACTGTCATAAAACCCCAGTCAGATTAGTAGGCACTTCAACACAATGCACTACTTCTGTAATTCAAAGCCATCATCTCAAGTAAGTGGCATTCCAGACTTTGTCTTTCATCCAGCTAAGTAGATGCACACTCCTTCAGGATCCTCCTTCAGACACCCATCATGGCCAAGAAGAATTAAGCAACACTGTATTTAGTGACCTGGGGTTAGTGTCAGACAGCAAAATATAGACATATTGTTGTCCCATATTGCCCGGAAAGCAATTCATCAGTGGGGAAATGAGTGCAGCGTGATTATTCCTATAAAATGCACACCACAGCAGGATGTGCTCTGTAGTTTCTATCTGTTTCATAACACAGGGGCAAAGGTGCTCTGACCAAGGGATCTTTTTATACCATCCCTCCAAAACTGCTGATGGAAGACCATTAAGGCAGGCCAAGGTAAAAGCCCTTCTGTGTTTGTGCAGCTCCAACTGTTCAAGACAGGGTGCAGCTATTGCAATGTGTCTATAGTCCACCCTAAGATAGAATTCTGGGGCACTATTGAGATCACTTTTCTCTCTATGTCTGTTATGCACTACTTGATCGTTTCCGTTTTCTGTTCAAAGCCCATATTTAGTAGAGTCTGCAGGGGAAGGCCCAAGAGAGCTATTTTCTGCTCAATTTATTTGAATTTCAAATTATCCTGCAAAATTAGTGGAGCAAGGTCACCTGGAAAATATAACAATCTGAGCCAATACACAAGGATAGCCCCCCAGATCCTAGCTTCAATTTTAATCTGACCAAGCTTTAATCTTATCTTTGCATTGGAGACATCTCTAGAAACATCCAGTATTGCCCTCAGAAATTTTGATGGTACACGTTGTAGTACTTGGATATTCAGAAAAGGCTCCAATTGAGATCCATACAATAACTGAGCTAGTACTTTTGCTTGGTATAATTGGAGGGCTAAGGGGATACAGTGTTCACCTTTTGTTCGCATGAATTGTATTATGGCTGAAGAGCTTCTCGGTGTGTTTAATGCCACATATTCCACATTAGGCTAATTTTAAACTCTAGCAAGAGTGATCTGGGTATATAGAGGGAGAGGGAGAGACAGCGGAAATGAGAGAGAGAGAGAGAGAGAGAGAGAGAAGGATGCAGCAGGAACAAGGAGAAAAAGAGTCACCTGGCCAGCACCAGCATGCGACCCTCAGCAGATTAGGATGAGGAAATATGATACCTGTCCCTAGAGCACATTCTGTGCTATGGAATTTCTGAATGCACGTTAGGGTTTTTTGCAGTATAAAATTCAGCTTTCATTAGAAATTTCTGTTTTCATTGGATCCCCAAGAGTGTTCCAATTTAGCATAATTAATAAATGAACAGCAACTCTAAAAAAATATCATGAAGCTTTTTGTTTTGTTTGCCCGAATACTTCACAAGTACATGAAATATTTAAGGCAAAAATTAAAGCACACAATATGATTTAAATGTTCTCTTCTCTTCCACGGGTTCTCAAAGTACGGCCTGCAGGAAGGATCCGGCCCGCCATGGCCATCCATCTGGCCCGCGCCACCATTCACCGTCCTCGCGTGCGCTTGCTGCACGGACAAGGAGGTGGCGGCTTGCTCACTCGGAGACGGTCTCTGAGCGATCACGTCACTGCTGCCGCCTGCCTCCCGCACGCGTGCGCTTGGAGATGGTCTCCGAACAAGCAAGCGGCCGCCGCCGCCTGCCTCCTGTATGTGCACGCTCGCCGCTGCCTTGCAGCCCGGGCGGGGCGGTGGCGGCTTGCTCTCTCAGAGATGGTTTTGGACTCGCTGGGAGATCTCTGAGCAAGCGAGCCACCGCCACGTGTGCCCAATGCCGCCTCGCACGCACCTGACGGCACCTGACCGGTCCGCGCCCCCAGGCACCCCCACTTCACCGGCCCGCGACGGTCACCACAGCCTTTCAACTGGCCCCCTATTCAAAAAGTTTGAGGACCACTGTTCTATTCCATTGGAGTAGGGAACAGAATATAAATGCAACAATAAATAAATATTATATAGACTTTACTAGAATTATAGAATGCATTGAATATCTGTACCGCAATATACAAATATGCAATTAAACTGGGCCTCTTAAATAATTAAGAATGTTGATCTATTTGCATATTCTAATAGATTAATTTAAATAATACTGCATATAGCCAAAACCTCAGTATTGATACCTCTGAAGAGAGCAACATACAGAACAGTTTACAATTCACTTATTTAAGGCATAATACGTCAGTATATTAAGTGACCACTATATAACTTTGAAGCAAACAAGCAGTCCTTGGATTTCTGCACTAATTAAAATAAGCCTTACCCCCAACTCAAAATAGAACTTAATTAATTGGCCTTTAGGAAAAACAAAACATCCAAAAGGTTTTAATCTTGACAGCCCACAGCAGCCTATTGCTGCAGAAATAGGTCTTTTACCGTCACTGGGTCCTCCAATGGGTTTTCAATTTCAGCCTGACGCAAGAAGACATTTCCACGACACACCCTCCACAGCATCCGTTCAAAGGTAGGGATTCGCTCACGGTTGATCACACCAGCCACAAATCTGAACACAATAAGAGTGAAAGCCAACAAGAAAGAACATTTTGGAACAATGAACTGATCCACGCACAACTTAGAACAGAATGATCATGCTTACTGAGGCTACTGGGAGTTCTAAACAAACACATCTGGAGGATAACAGGTCAGGGAAGGCTGGCCTAAAAGAACGTGGAGAATGCAACAGAAAAGCCACCAGAATGCACAAGAATCTTAACATAGGCACATTTTTTAAAACCATAGAAACTATTGAATTTTAATTGGCTACAGTAAGAAACTGCACTTTTGTCGCACCTACAAATGGCTCAGAAATTACCTCATATTATACTTAAGGAATTTATGATTTAGCATGATGTCTGAATTGACAAACCAGAGTTTGCAACTGGCCAGTAAATCAGAAACCAGGGTTTGAAATACATGTACAAGCAATAGTATACATTATCCATGGTTTGGGATGATATCTGAACTGATAAGTTGCAGTTTTGGGTTTCAACCACTCCTAGGACTGCTGCACTAAAGGGGCAGCCATGAATTTATGAACCGCAATATTGAGATGAAGAAAAGCAAAAGCAGCCAGCTGGTTCTAAACACTGTATTGTTTATCTACCACACATTCAGTTCAAACCATAATTGGCTTTCTAAATACAGTTAGAACAAGCAATGTTTTTGTGCAATTCAGACATTACTGGTAACTGGTACAAAGTAATCAGAACAAAACTTAAGCTGCATTCTCAGAGAACATGACACTTGAAAAGGACACAATCTATTAAAACCTTTTGTGTCCATGTAAGGAAGCTTTTTGAGACTGATATCTGGAGAGAGCAGAGTCTTGAATAAGCCAACAAGAAAAAATAAGGGCTGGCTGTCATAGAAGCCTCCTGAAAACAAAATAAGCTATAAATCTAGCACATTGCGAGTTGGAATTAGTTCTGCTGATGGGCTGCACTATAAATTCAGTCTTCCAACAGTTATTAACATATAAACATATAGACATATGCTACAGAAATTTTAAAAAGCAAACATCAAACTTATTATGATACTGAATCAAACCTACAGTACACAATGGTGAGTGTAGGAAAAACAGGACCTCTATTTCACCCATATTTGGTACTTAAAATAATTTAAGTTAAAAAAAGTTCAGCAACCTTTCTGAAGTGCTAGTAATGAGCAATTTCCTAAATCTAGAACCTATCCATCCATTGTTAGAGGATGTATATATTAACAGCAACTGTTAAAGCTGCCATGCAATTCTCATCATTTTTTCCAGCTATTCCAAGCAGTAAAATAAGGAGAGCAACTTGAAACTGATAACCTACACCAATCTGGATTAGCAGCACAATCTGTGACCAAAATGTATTCAGTTATTTACATTTTAAATAGTATTCAATGTGAAAATGCAGTCAGCTGACAAAACTGGACATGATGTGGGCCATCAACAGAAATGTGATTTAGATGTAATATCTAGCAATTCAGCAGATCTAGAAAAGACTGGATGTCTACAGGCTAGCCTGTTCTCTTCTAGTTTTGTGGACAAAGAGTCAAGAACAACATGAAAGAATGCAGATCCGTCTTTCATTCCAAGGCCTGTGGCCTAGAAGAGATTCTGTGAAGCATCACTGGTGCTGCTCAAACAGAAATGTTGTACATACCCCAGTCGCAGTGGAGCTCCTCTTCCTATTTCACTTGGCTCCAGCAGTGACGAAGATTCCTCCAACAACTCAGGATCCGCCATCTGCTGATGATGCAATTCAGCCTGAATTCACAAATCAATTAATATCTAATGAAACTAGTTAGTGGCATGCAGAGGGATGAGGAACCAGGAGATGGATGAACAGAAGCAAAGAGAGACTAGATAAAGAAAAATCAGAGACAGAGACAGAGACAGAGACAGAGAGAGAGAGAGAGAGAGAG